GTGAGCAGCAGCTCATTTGCATTTAAAGAGACAGGCCCGAAAAACAGCGTGTTTCTGCTTCCACTCAAAATAGGCATTTTCAAAATGATATAATAAATGATCTGTGGGGTATTTTGAGCGGAAACTTCACAGACACATTCTGGGGACACCAGAGACTTATATTACATATTGTAAAAAGGGGCATAATATGTCTCCTTTAACATTTTTGTTGTAACCTGATTGGAACTTTGACACCAGAGGATTCAAAATCTCCCTCTGGCTAATCATAAGACTCAAGTCACATGTGTAACTAAATGCCTACACCCTGTGAGCAAATAAGGTATCAGACTGAATGCAAGTGTGACCATTTTGTTTGTCACCTTACAGGTGCTGATTGATTTTAGACTGGGCAGCACTTAGTTTTCAGTAAGATGATTCAGAGTTTATGGTGAAGGCAGGACATGTTTATTTTAACAGCCATGTCTCTGTACAAAAAGCAGGAACAATCTCATATATATTGATGTTTGTAAGAGGGATATAGTTTCACCAATGCTGTCCGGCAAGACTTCCAGGAGGTTCTCAGAGAGCAGCAGGTCTGTGAGGGCGATAAGGCCACTGATCTCTGTGGGAAGCTCTGATAGACGGTTCTCTGACACGTCCAAGCAAACCAGCTGCCGCAGGTTCCCCAGCTCCTGTTAAACACAGAGGTTATCTTTCAGTCAGACGAAAGTGAATTAAGGCACTCTAGTTTCCACTTCAGTTATCACCAGAACAAGCACATGGCACATGCATTCAGCTGTGCTGAGGGTAAAAAATGTCTGAAAATTCATCTGCATGAATTTGAACCTTTATCTGAACTAGATATTTGAAACCATCAAGACAGATGACCAGTATGATAATGAGCCAATCAGAAGCTGTCTGTACTCACCGGAGGTAGTGAGGAGAGCTGGTTTCTGTCTAACCAAAGCTCACGAAGATTGGGCAATGCCCCAAGTGTGTCAGGCTGAACGGAAGAAATAAAAAGAAAGCAGATTAAAGACAGGATATGGGGCAATGAAACGAGGCAAACAATAATTTACTAAAAATAATTTAATGATAAAGCAATTGGCAGGCACTCAGGTTCAGCAAAGGAAATGATAATCAGAGATCCACTGGGGCAAACAAAAATAACAAGCTCTAAATAAACCTGAAAACATGGCATGCATGTGTGTGCATGGTTTCATAACTAAAATATCTAAATTATTCTCAGGACCAAACAAAACTATCCGCTTCTTACCAAAACTTCCAGTACATTGCTGCCCAGATCCAGCTGTTCCAGTTTAACCAGGAAGGAAAGAGAGCTAGAGGATGATCGAGACAGGTTTCACATTTAACGTTATTTTTATCAATTGTTTTTGGGTGTAAATTCAGAGCATGAACACTGACTGTGGATCTAATAACTGCAGTTTGATGGGAAAATACTCACGAAGGTAAAGATTTCAGTAGATTCTCCCTCAGCTCTAGAGTCACCAGGTTTGACAAGCTGAGAGAAGAAAAAAAGAGAAAGAGTCGAGACTGAGCGTCAGATGGTGAGTGTGTCGCTCAGTTTGGAAGAGTAAGGGGCTCCTCCATCTGCACGACATCAACAGTAGCCAAAAACCATGTGTGTGTGTGTGTACATGTGTGAAATGGAGAGAGAGAGTGTGTGTCTGTATGTGAATGGGATGCCTGCTTTGTATGATAATTACAAAAGGCAATAAAAATGATAAAAAAAATGCATTTAAATATTTTAAAATATGCATAGATATTCCTCTTTGATGCACATTGCTTTTATCCATAACTTTAGTTGCATAAAATTAAGGGTTGCATTGTGAGGCTGTTCTACATACATATAGTTTCATATGACATAACAGATACATATTATGACGCTTGCTTTTTAAATCTATCAGCATGAAATAAATGTTAACGCTATCTATTTTCTAAAAGCATGTTACAGATCTTATGTGAATAAGTGATCTATGAATAGATTCATCAAAAGTTTGACCTCGTAATGTTTAATCAAATGAAAACGATGGAATTCTCCTGGACAACAGATGATTAAAACAAATTCACCATCCTTCATTTTTTTCAATCATTTTTTACGTGTATACGTGCAAAAAATATTTAATTTTTACCCAATACATTTTCTTGTGGAAGGGTCAGTTTTTTCTTTTTGATAATCTTTTACACTCGTGTGTACATCACAATACAGAAGAGAAGACCTGTCGCTACATCCATTTCATTGTGACTAAATGAAAAAGTGTAAAAAACATTAAATTTTTACATAATACATTTCCTTGTGCGAGGGACAATTTTCTTTTTACACATTTTTATTAAAATAACTAATAATAATTAAAAAAAAACTGGAATAGAACGTGTTCATATAGACTTACTTTCCAATGTCATTGGGTAGAGACTGCAACGACACGTCATTGAGTGATAGGTGAGCCAGTCCTCTGAGCTGTGTGAAGCCATCAGGCAACCTGAGACCGACAGAGACAAAAGTAAAATGAGACGCACAATGGAAAAGGTTTGTTCTGTGAAAGCGGTTACTGCTAACAGCAGCGCCCATCTTCCTGCTCTAATGTAAATAAGGAGTGGGAAGCACTTGTGTGATGAATTAAGTTGACATCCTCTAATAGCTGTGTGCACTGACTGACCCAAACAAAGTGTCTGTTACATTCTCACCTGCTATAAAAATATCATTACAGCATTTTAACAGAACATATGATCATTTGTAAACTTTTTAGTGTCAGACTTTCTTCTCTCTTCCCAACCTTTCTACACCTTTCATAATCAAGAAAGTGTCATTTGGTATGGGGGATTTGGAGGTTCTTCCAACACACTAACCTGGACAAGGGGTTTCCGCTGAAGTCTGCAATCTCCAAGGCCTGACAGAATTTAATGTTTTCGGGAATCTCAGAAATATCTGAGAGAGAAAGGCACAGTCAGCAAGATATACTGAAGGAGTGTCACGACAAACTGAGCACTTTTTCAGGCTTCTTAATAATGGCTACCAGATGGCCTGGAGGAACGGGAGGAGAGGGTGATTTGACTGTAGTGAGTCGTCTGTAAGTGTGTGTGTGTGTGTGTGTGTGTGTATCTTATATGGGATCCGAGGCACACGTTAGGGACCAAGTGAGAGTCGCTTCATTTGCGGAGTTGCAGAATATAACACTGCATAGTTTAAATACAGACCAACATGTTCAACATTCCCACGATCCATCCTGAGACTAACAGTAAATGTCCCTCGGGCTGTGCGAGGCACATGAGAAGACAATTGGGCGTTGAAATTGATGTACACTTCTTAAATAGACATGGCTCAAAGAGCACTGTGTAAAGAAACTTTCAAGTGGTACATAGGATGTGTGTGCAAATATCTCTAGATGGGTGCAGTTTAAAAGCAGCTTTATTTTTCAGCAGCAGTGCACATTTAAGAAAGAGTTTTACACACCATTTCTAGAGATGTCTAGCTCCACCAGCTGTGTGAAGTTGGCAACGTCGGGTGGCAATTTTTGAATCTCATTGTCGCTGAGGCCCAGCTTTCGCAGATTGTGCAATCTGAAGAAAGGCTGAAAGGTAAAGAAAGAGTAAGAATTAGATAAAACGCAGTTATATGCTGGCCAGACAAATGCATCAAGGGAGGAACAATATAGATAGGCCCCATATTGGTTACTATCTCCTAATATTGGATATTTAATTGTTTATGCCTATTTTAGCAACAGCGATAGATTATGGCAAAAATAAAACACTTTAAAGGGATAGTTCAAACAAAAATGACAACTGTCATTGTTTATTTACTCACTCATTATCCCAAACCTGCATGGCTTGCTTTCTTCTGCGCAACACAAAAGATGATGATACCATTTTTAGTGACCCCTGACTTCCATTTTATAGACAAAGAAAACAATGAAGCTTTTCTCAATTTATCTTTTTATGTTCCATAGATGAAAGAAAGTCATACAGGTGTAAAACAACATGAGGGTGAATAAATTATTAGTCAATATTCATTTTTGGATGGTTATCTTGTTAAGAGCACTCACACTCTTGAAGAGGGCTTCCCTTTTATCTAAATCACCATTTATTGGTTATTACAGGCCAACTGGTGGTATCTGACTTTTTTTTTGACATAACATTATATCTGACTGATTTGTAGAAATCAGTGTGGCTGGTGACAATGAAAAACACAGATGGGTCAAGTGCTACTAGACATTGCATGGTGAAAAATATCGGAGCATTGAAAGATTTACAACAAACAAGGTTATACACTCAATCCTATGCTGCAATTGCAAATGACAGCTTGCCAAAAAATTGAGAAGGCCAATGATATTCAAATTAGCAAAACTACTTGTATTTGCATGTTACTTTAAACGAGCCAGATTGGAAACTAATGACCACTGCTCTCAACTACCTGACAACAGCTCATCCACACACACACACTTCTGTAAACAATCATGTGAAGTGAAGGCAAAAGTGTGCGTGTCTGTTTTTGCATGCCGTGCTACTTTATCAAGAGCTTGCTTGTTAGTTGGTCACATTCAGTACATTCCTGCTGCTGTGGCCCGTCGTGCCCTCTCCTCTTTTTATGCTGGGCTGGCCGCTGAACACCAACAGAGGGCTTACTATGTACTGCCAAGAACAAGGCTGATACTGCAGGATGTATGTGTGTGTGTGTGTTGTTGTTTGTTGTGACTCTTGATTCACTGGTACACAAGGCCAAAACATCAAAACTCTCTGTAAAAAGAGAAAATGGATGTAAAATAAAAATGAAGGATGAGATCAACACATGATTGTGGGAAATGTAACTCAACCAAACAACAGTTACCACCTCCATTTAAGGCAGTGGTTTTCAACCGGGGGGGCCGACTAAGCAGACTTCCTAGGGGGCCTCAAGATGACAAACTATAGAAAATTTTGTTAATAGAAATAAAGCTTAAATGAAAATTTAAACTGGCTGGCTTCAGCAACAACAAGTGTAGGCACTAAAATTACAAACTGAAAATAAATGACTAAAACTTAACTAAAACTATAAATTAAAAATAAATAAATGTAAATAGTAATATAATAAACGAATAAGAATGACAAATGCACAAAATAACTACAAATTAAAATGAAAACCGAAAGTAAAAAAATAAAAGCCAATTTAAGGAATAACTATAATAGAACATACTAATACTAAAAAAAAAAAAATCACTGGTGATTTTTTTAAAATTCTTATCCAGTAAATCGTGAAAGACTAGAAAAGTCATGGAATCAAATTGAGGAATCCTGAATAACAATCAGCTCTTAAAGCATCTGGGCCCTCATTTATCAACAGTGTGTAGAAAAGGTTCTATTTTTTGTCCTACGAAAGAAATTTAGAATGTGCCCAAGTACAAGAAAATCTGTATTTATCAAACGTGCGCACGCAGTTCTTACGCACATGCGTAAGCAATCATTGTTGATAAATCCCACATGTGCATAAGTAACATGCTCATTCACGTTCACAGTCATTTGCATTCGGAAACGCCTCCAATGAACCATATATGGTGACAACACCTCCCTTTATAAGTCACGTGAATGTATGTGTCCTCACCGAAATCATGGCAAAGAAAGCGGTACCGACTGAGAAGCCATTCTGTGCTCTCACTCTCAG